TGTGTGTGTGTGTGTGTGTGTGTGTGTGTGTGTGTGTGTGTGTGTGTCTGAGTGTGTGTCAGGCGCGGCGTTGACATCAGAGTGCACGGTCGCCCCGATTCACCCGCTCTCCCTCTCCCCGCATCAGATATTCCAAACAGAGGCCAGACGAGCATCTGTTTTCACGGTTCACTAAACTACATCTTCCCCCCCCCCCTACAGACATGATGTCATCGATTTCTCTGCGACGCTCCACACACACTCGGTCGCCAAATCTGCCTCTTATGTGCCAAACAAATTGATGCGTCAGGAGGACCGCGGCGGTGCTGAAGGTGCACGGCTCTGCGCGTAATTCGACATGTAGAGGCTACAGTAGTAACATCTGACACGGGCGCGCGGCTCAGGCTCTCTCTGTTTCGGTTGATCAGTCGAAGCAGCTGGGCGGGGGGGGGGTTTTTTTTTTTTTTTTTTTTTTTGGTGCAGACAGACGCAGTGGCTGGCATTTAATGGGAAAATAGTAACGCATGACGGCTGCTCAAGAGGGCTGCCCGCGTGAAGAAAATGTAAAGCAGCAGTGTGAGAGCCAACGGAAGGGGTCATGTTTTTTTTAGCCGACATGGATGATGGCGAGGCTGACCACTGATGCTGTTGCAGCGGTTGTGCTGGGCAGCAGCCCTCTGCCTCTCATCGCAGAAAGGGCTGTTTGTATGGACTGATGCATGTGAACGTTTGGGCCACAGGCAAAATTACTCACATGCAGAGTTCAGGAGTAAAAACTACTCTCAAACTCATTGACCTTTCTAAGAGAGAGAGAGGGAAGAATGCCAGGGGCCCTAGATGAGATATTTTCTTCTGTGGCTCACCATTATGCCTTCCCGGTTTAGTGAGAAAAACCTCTTGTTACGTGCCTAAAAAGAGCTTTTTTTTTTACTCCTGCGTTGAAAATAAAGGTAGTGCCTGCCGGTGCATCTCCCCTCATGACGGGAGAGAATCCTCTGAGAATTCCTCGTCAGACTGCTTCTGAATGCTGCTACATCGATCTGCCGCAGCTGTATTAGTTCAAGTTTATTTACTCCACTGTAGTGGTCCAGTTCGTCCTTTCACTCATATGTGCCACAAGAAGACACGAGCAGGGCTGTTAGCTGAAAGCCAGGGGGACAATACTGGCTGTGCTGGTCTTTGTACAACTTTACACATAAATCTAAAATGGAGAGGATTCCAAGATGCCTGACTTACTGTTGAGTAACTTTATATGTGGAGTCATAGCTCACCACCTTTTAGAATGATGAATTTAAGATCACATCACTATTCACTGGAGGGTTCAATCAGGGGGTGAAATAGCTCCTCTGATCTACAGCAGTTTTACAAGAAAAAGCTCAACAATTGTCCAAACAACATGTTTCGCTTGCTCCACAAGCAACTCGCTGTACAGATGGAGCTTCTATGTGGATTTGTCAGCACACCCACATTCTGCGTCTCCATATGTGATCCTGTATGACATCCACTTTCAACTTCTTCCTGGCGTTGACTGTTGGGGGAGGGGATGTTAGAAAGTGGTAAACTTTTGACTTTTACTTTTAGAGTTTTGTTTTCTTGCAAGAAGGTGCTGTTTACAGCGCCATCCTGCGCAATGCTTTAGATGTTGGACTTTTTGACACCCATCCTTCTTGCCTATCTTTGTTTTTCATCTATCATTTGCAAAGTAATACAGTTAGGTGTTTAAAGGGCGTGATTTGAATAAGTGTATATAGTTAGGTTTGGGTAAAGAGTTCCATCTCAGAATTGCAGCCATGGATTCATTCATGCATTCATTCTGGACAAATGCACAAACTACTACACACTTTCTACAGTAGTGAGATGAGGCTGATGTTTATGTGGATCCATTTTCCACATCCATCTACACTGGGTAAAAATGGCTCATGAATTCCACTTTGTGTGTTTTTCACAAATTTGATCCACGTTGTGTCTAAAGATGGAAGAAAAAGTTTATTTAGGTTCTGGCAAACAGAAAAAAAGGCTCGTAGACTGGCCCTGCTCATGTTTATTTTCCAGATCGACAGTAAGGCCTTCATTTGCTGCTTCTTAGCGTATTAAAGCACAGAGACTCAAATCAGGGGGGAAACCTAGCTTGACAAAACATACCAGTCTGTAAAAACTCTAATAGATTTCTTCCTTTTGTCTGGTTCGGTTGCCTGGTTACTGCTCCCTTAACTCCAGCAGCATAAACGTTAACTAGCAAAGTTTTTTACTTTAGGGACAACATAAAAAAAAACTAAAAAACTTAACTTTTACAGCAGCAGCTGTCAGAGGAATTTCCCTAATAGTATTTTAAAGTGGGGTTGTGCAGGGAAATCATATCTTAAGGGGAACTCAAGGAAACACAGTGTGTCTGTGTGCGTGGTATGACAACTCGAAGCCATGGGCCAGTGATTCTTATCAGACCACACTGGACATGATCTGCCTACCTCCTGGTTTTGGAGCTGAGGGTCAAAAGCTGCTCTCTTCAGCGTCATTTGAGTTCGCAACCTGAAGACCCACAGAGATAAAAGTTGATATGGAGACTATTAGACTTTGTGAGTGGTCAATTTGCCAATAAGAGACATATGTTATTTTATCATCCTGTATCATGGGGTGTCAATATATTTTAGAAAGTACTAGACCAATCTAAATAACCATTTTCTCCAATCATATGTGTTATCATAAATAAATATAATTTTTTTAATCTAGGGAATAAAAAGTGTGCCCTTTGGCAACGCAAGCGGAAACAGCATCGGTTTGTGAAATGTTTTGTTTTCATTAATATGACAAAAAGCTGAAGTGCTGACAAGAGTCAAAACCGCTTCTCATTATGTCTCATTAACAGATTCTATTTTTTACTCCACATTCAATTAGCTGCTTTTTTCCTGCTTTGTGC